GTGTGTGTGTGTGTGTGTGTGTTTGTGTGTGTGTGTGTATGTGTCCCCCTCCCCCCTCTCTCTCTTCCAGTAAGTAATTTGTTTGAAATAGCCGCAACATTTGACGGACCAATACGAGGTGCGTCTGACAGGGTCATTCGAAGACGTGTTTATTTGGTGGAGAGAGTGTGATCTGGGTGGCTCTCCACTATTGAAATCCGTTCATGTCTCATTACGTGGTCACTTTCTCAACCCTCTTCCCACCCCGGGTTTTATTCTCTTTTTTCATCAACAGCGCCTTTAGTTTCGATCGCTTGGCGTATGGTACTGTATGCAGTACTTTGGTTGATTTACAACTGTTAAGCATACATGTATGGTAATCATCGCCTTGCAGAGAGGCTTCGCATATTCTCTGTTTATCCTCGAGAGTGACTTTTTCATTCAATTTTTTGTTAGGCATGCTTAATATCACGTTGCTGTGATTTTCATCTGAGACTGAAAGGTGTTACAAACGATTGATTGCTCCAAACTGTTGAATCAAACAAAACGAGATTACCTGTAGACCTAGATCTAGACAGCAGATAGCGAGTATCGAAGGCACAAGCAGTAAACAACGAACGTTGCAAAGAGACAGATTAACTTTGCCCGACTCGAAGATGATTTTCACATCATAGCTTCGTAGTTTTCGTATCGTTGAGTGTGACCCGTCCTATGCTGCATTTGAACTGATAAAGACGAACCTGCGTTCTCTAATGTTTACAGTTGAGCTCTCTTGTGATTACAATCGAGCTGGTATTTGCTTATATTTTCCATTGTGTCAAACTTGAACTGTCTATGTTGAATTCATTTGACAATTTTGATATTTGAACTTTCAATGCTGCATTTGAACTCTGCATATATTTTGATATTTGATCAGGAAAAGGTGTATAATGTTCTGTTCGCACGCTGTGAGGCCCACGGTAGACGCTCATATCCTAACATAATTCATATCACTAGGTGATTTTTTATTTAATGTGGTCGTTTTTACGTCCCTATCGACACAATTTAAGCAATTTAGGAGGCGGCTTTCGACCGTGCCTTTCAGGGCCAAAGTAGGCGGAGAGGGGTACAGCATCCCATCAGAAAAGTGTTCTGTGTGGGTCTACTGTGGTAATAGTGTGTGTGTAGTGTATTAGTATGTAATCTACACTATTTGAACAGTAAAAGAAAATAAACGTATGGGTTTGACGCCCCCTATCAACACTGTTAGGTTATTCAAGAGTCCAGACCTCCCAATTCAACGTCCGTCTCCGATAGGACCAGCCAAATGGATGGAAAGCCTTGGAAACACCACAGAACGACGCCCTGTTTGGGATTCAACAAGGCCACTGTTCCCGTAGTCCGGCGTGGTCGTTTAGCATGACACAAAGGACCTTACAGTATATATATCCTCCTTGCATGACACCAAGGACCTTACAGTATATATATATCCTCCTTGTATGACACCAAGGACCTTACAGTATATCATCCTTGCATGACACCAAGGACCTTACAGTATATCCTCCTTGCATGATACCAAGGACCTTACTGTATATCCTTCTTGCATGATACCA